CTCTCTCTCTCTCTCTCTCTCTCTCTCTCTCTCTCTTTCAGTCACATGTTCTCTTACCATTTTGCTTCCAATTTAAGGAACAAATTGCAGTTGCTAAACAAGGAGAGGGTGTATTGCTTTTTCTGGACATCTATCATTCCTTTTTGTTGGTTATAAACAAAACATGGTCTTGTTTAGAGACCATTCGCAAACATGACAGTAATTTTGATTGTTTATAATACTGTACACTATCCAGAGTCATTATGGGGTCAGACAGCAGCAGTATTAAAAATGTGAGAAATAATAGGAAAATGTTAATAGAACAAAAACATTGTACATAGTAGAAAATAAAACAAAGTTATAAAGAATGTACGTATACAAATTTAATAAATAGATAAAATATATGTTGATGTTTTGCATTTTTTTTCTTTTTTAGGAACATGACAGAATTGCCAGTGTTCTCCAACAGTATAAAAAGAAAAAGAATGTGAGTATTGTCTTTTTTATGGATTTATTGCTGTCAATGACTTTGATGTTCAGAGCAATAATAAAAAGACCACCAGGGATGCCCTGGACCCATGAGCTTCCAGGATTTCCATCAGTTTGTTGATACTAAAAGAACCATTATTGCAAAGAAAATCAGCAGTGACAGACTATAAGATTAAAGCTCTGTGTGTGTGTGTGTGTGTGTGTACACACACGCGCACAGACCACATTCAGACCACATTTCTGCCACATGTGCATCTTACATGCTAAGAGCTACCTGTTGCTCAGCAGGAGGAATGGTTGTCCTGTATATTGCTATTGTAACAGATCACTCTACTCTCAGTCCCTTTGCTTCTGATCTTGCCTGATCTAATCCTCACATCTCCCTAGACTGGTGTAAAAGCCATATCTTGAATATAGTAGTTCCCAATTAAGTTCTTTATATCTTCAAAGATGCTTGAAAAAGTGTAATTCTGTTGCTAATACTGGACCGGATGGACTCGTGTCTTACTTAGTGTAAAGCAGCTTTTACAAAGTCCTGTGTTCTCTCACACTGAAATCAATAGAATGATTAGTCTTCACTCCTTTTCTCTCTTTTTAACACTGATAAATGAGGGATATGGAGACAGGATTTCAGCACTGGAGACAACTTCCCCAATTGTCTAATAATGGCTTTACTGCCATGCCCGAGACCAAAGGATGACATAGCAATCTGTTTTATATCAAACCAAATCACTGAATATTTTAAGTATTTTCTATAGTGGCTGCCAGGATTTCATGTTAGAGCCAGGGATTGAACCTTCCTATAAATCAAGTGCTCTACCAATAAGATAGTGATTGAATATGCATAAAATTAAATAATAGTACTGTATGTATAAAACAAAGACATGAATATCAGAAGGTGAAAAAGAACTATAAGGACAAATTCTTAAGACAAATGATCCGTCAGAGCAAAGTTTTGCTTAGATTTTATTTTTCATTCATCTTTTATTCAGGATATAAGCATACTAATTTAATCAATTAAATGTATTGCTTACACCATCCCAAATAACAAAAGATTAAAGCATGCAAACAAAAAACATAAGTAAATGAAGTTCACATATTTTATGACTGAATCCAGCTAATCCAAAGGCATGAATATTGCAAGATTTACTTTCTGAATCATTTGTATTTCAGGATCCCACGTTTCTAGAGAAAAAAGAACGATGTGAATACCTAAAGAACAAACTTTCTCACATAAAACAAAGAATTCAGGAATATGACAAAATTATGAATTGGAATACTTAGAATGACTTTAATTTTACCAGCAAGATTTTTTTTACCATTTTAAAATATTTATTTACTGTATATTTTTTTTCCTGTAAAATTAGTAACTAAAATTTAGTATGTTTATCTTGTGAATTAAGGAAAAGCTTTATGTACCGTAAGATACTGTAAAACTTTCTAAGAACTTAGTCGAACCATGTGCACTGATGATCCTATTCTGCAATAATAGATAAAATTGGTATCTTTTTACTTTTTTAATTAAAAATATTTGTATTTCAGTCATTGAGATATTTTCTTAAATATGAATATGTTGCATGCATTCAGGTGTCACTGTCTTAATTCCATGTGTAGCTCAGTTACATGAAATGCAGTCTTTCAGAGATCCATATGTATTAAATATTGCTTATGTGCTAGGGTGCCACTTAACTATTTATATGTAATGACTTACTTGGAACAACAGGGAACCAGGATTTAGCCATCTCCTCCTTTGGCAAACAGGAATTTGGATTCAGGTTCTCCACAACCCAAACCAGGTGTTTGGTGATCTCCCAGCAACGTCAATTCTTAATTCTCTCTGAACAATTCCTAAAGAAGTGTTGCACATTTTGTGTTTAGGACAAAGATTCACATTCATGGAACACTGGATTGAGCAGTATTTTACATAGGTGGTTAACAAATCCTTTTGTTTGCCTTATTTTTTGATTTGGGTAAATCAAAAGTTTATATGATCTAGTAAATACTTTAGTTATATAGCAAAGTTTACTTTCTATCCAGTACAAGTCATCTTGTTCAGCAATTTTCCTTATAGCCATACATTTTAAAACTAAAGAATTTTGAAAGTTTAATATTTGTAAATCTTGACATTCTAAACAAAAATTGTAGTATTTTTGTGACCTGTGTCTATATTGCAACAAAATAGGTATATTAGATTCCATCTGACTGTGCTGTGGCATTTGAAAATATCTAAATGATGCAAGTATAACTTGTTTGTTGGAGGGACAGTTACTTTCAAGTTTTCTCGGTGGACCATATGGATGTGGAAACAAAACCTTTGGGGTCATTACCATAGTTTTAAAATTGATTCTGATGCAGAAAAGGACCTAAATCCAGGTGTTTAGAAATCTGTGATTATATTTGAAGACCCATTCCAACTTTATTTCATAGGTAGTGCATTTTGAGTATACAGAGAAAGTCATTAGCTTTGTGTGGGAGAATATCATTAGGGAAGTAAGAGTTAAAAGAGAATGTGAATGCTATCTAAGAAAAGCAACATTCAACCCAAAAATTTTCAAACTGAAGTATTGAATCCTACTTTTACTGCTGAAATATAGCCTTGTCACGTATATATCACTGAATTGTCAATTATCTTGTTATCTTTTAAATGTGGATTGGAGAAGTGATTATAGCTGACTTTTTCTAAACAGCAACTTAATGTTGATTGGAATGGCATGTGCAGAAAAACTATTCAGGATATTAAATAGCCACAGTTTTTTAATAACAACTCTCAGAAAATAGAAATTCCACAAACTCTACCTTTATGAGTGAGGAAGGATGGAGCAGATCTTGCTAATAAGTTCACATACCTTTCTACATTTCTATATTGTATCATATCTCAATTTTTACAGAAGAATCCTAGCATATTGCAGTGAACTTCTACTCGGTGTAACTTTGAAAACAATTTTCAAATAACATGCACTGGAATGCAAGTCACTTTGCTTTGCTTTCTTTATAGTGTTAAGTCATAATTAACCTTCTGAAATATTGAACTGTACATTTTCATAAAATAATCAGTAAAACATATAATATATACCTCAGAGGTTAATATTAGCAGTCCTTGGGAATAGTATATTTTTTGTTAAGCAAATATTTCATATTCACATTATTTTAGCGGAAGTTATAATCTAGAAGTGCAGAACTGTAAGAACATTTTTATCGGTATAAGTGTGTTTTATAAGCATTGAAGATGTAAAGAAAGAACAATAAATTGTAACATGCTATAAGCTATGTGTAATGTAACATTTCTATTCTCTTCACAATTATCTTTGGGCATTCAAATTTCTTCAAACTTAGCATTTGAAAAAAATACAAAACCTTGTGTTAGTGAAAATGCGGTACATAAAATTACTATAGTGAAGAAAATGCCTTGCACAAATGTATATATTAAGCAAAGCTATATACTCTGAATACATAAACTGAGTAGTACTGCACATTAGCTCTAGACCTGCTATCCCCTAAAATGTTAGCTAATTTTAAGGGTTAAATTTGCATTTTTTTTTTTATGCTGGTGGATCTCAAACTAAAGGAAAACTGGGTCTTTTTTGCACCTCTGAAACATGCAGGCTTTCTGTTTTTCAAGTGGCTTTATTACTATTACTTCCCCATGTTTCCAAAATGCTAGTTATAAGCAACTCTTCCATGGGATCTGCTGCAATATACTAGGGATGGAGGAATACTGGGAATCTAATCTATGAATCTAACACTGCTAGGCAGTTTCACAATCCTTAATGTTAAACAGCCTGGCTTGATTTTCCTTGCTTACATAAGCAGTGCAGGCCAAACTCTTGTCTCAACCCAGGCTGTTAATTAATCCATCTCTATTTCTCTCTCACAAGCAGGTTTCTGTGTCTGCATGTGTGTGTGAGAGGGGAGTGGAGGGGGGGAACTGTGTAAAGTAGTTGCAGACATGTTGCCACTTTATCCTTTTAGTATCAGCCAGCAAAGGCTTTTTTGTAAGAACAGACAGAATGTCATCTTCACAGCAAGATGGCTTCCCCACCATAATACATGTTTAATATTCCTTTTGCAAACAGCCAGATTCACACAATTTGTACTGAAAATGTGGAAGGAGCGCTAGCAATTCATTTTCTTTTTGTGTGTGTGTGAAGTGGGCATGAGAGGTTTTTTAAATAATTATTCCTTATGCCATGGCAGCCCAAGGAGCAGATACTGCTGGAATCCCATTGTTCTACTGGTCAGCTACATGAACTGATTGACTTGGGGTTTTCCCTGAATGCCCTTGATGTTTTGAAGTGTAGATTGGCTTACTTCAATGTGGTTTATGAGGAAAGAATGAAAACTATTATGTGAAAAAGCCCATAGTATCTGGTAAAGGAAGATAGGAGAAAGGGAAAGTTTTAAAAGAAAATTAAGACATTTTACCCAATAGAGTCCATCCTCAAGTGGATCTGAACTGTTGATGGAATGGATTCCTACTTCTACATGCTTAAATCATCTGTTGAGGTAGCTTCCATTTCATCTGGTACATGAAGTGATCTTAAGTTGGCAGATACAGATGACACATAAGTGTATATGAATAAAAGTGAAGGTATCCAGGTGAAGGAAATGTTACATTACTTCAGTCACTATTGATAAAGCAATGTTGATAACACAGATATTCTCAGATCAGCATGCTAGTCAACATGTGCCAATTGCCTTACCAACACTAAGATGTTGAACTGACATTTACTAGTAGTTACTAATGATTTTATTTACAAAAAAAAATAATTGTCCTAATCTATATTGTTGTATCTCTATGACCTTATTACTTTTCCTCTATGCCTATGTGTTATGCATATAAATATGTCACAACTGCTTTGTAAGGCCAGCCATTTACACATGCTTCTACATGATTAGTAGGTTTCTACTACCACCTTTTTTTTCTGTAATTGAAATAAACTAGGTATCTCCCTGATATTAACCATGATTTGTTGAGTAAATCACAATGGCTGGGGTCACTCAGCATGTTAATCCTCTACTAAATAAACCACATAATGCCTTAGCACATTGTGTGAATGCATGCACTGAGTATTTTCACATAAAATCACATTCTGCTTATGTACTTAGAAGTGACAGCTGCTTCAGCTTTGGACAACATGATTAAGGAAAGCTACAGAGTGTTGTTAACAAATAGTACAGAACAGTTGTAAGATGTATTCTCTTCAGCTGGTCAGAATGGATTAGCATGTAGCATTAGCATGCTCATTAACCAGTGAAAAATATCACTATCTTGTGCTCTCATTTTCTATTGTGTATAACTAGGTGAATTTAGGCAATGCGGCAGGTACGTATAGTGCTTTGCCAAACATGGGCGATCACAAATGGTAACTGCATTGTGCAATGGTTTATTATAATACATTCGGGTTGTTTCTTTTGCAAACTGATTCTACTACACTGCTTTTAAAATTCAAAAGCTGCAGGTGTTGTGAAGTGATTATATTCTAAGCATCACCACTAAATTAAGTATTAATCAAACCTCCCATATGTTTGAGGTTTGTATCCTGGGGCAGCAAGTAGCTTTGTTTTATATCTACCGTTTGCCAAATGTTAATCTTTGTGTTAGCGGCTCATTTAAATGTTTGACATCTGTTTTTTCAAGATAATTGCTTCAGAGAAAGATACTTAGGACATTATTCCACTGCAAGGCAGTGAAATGTGAAGTAAAAGGAAAATGTTTAAACAGAACGCAGCAACCTGAACCTATATATAATCACTGGGATGTATCAACCTCTTTAATTTATTATTTTTAATATATGAAACAGAATGGCTGGAGTACCTTAATTGCTAGATGTACACAGTAAGTATATACACATATATTTGTGTAATAAACTTCTTCACTGATGTATAGTTTATTAAAAGTGCCTCAGTGTTGCCCAGGAAGTAAGTGTTACTTGAAAGTAACCAGAATATTTCGTATGAAAATACTCAGTGACTGCATTCACATAATGTGCTAAGACATAATGTGGTTTATTTGATATAGGCTTAACATGTCTGAATTAGCCCAGTCATTGTGTATTTAATATATTACTTCAAATATAGTATAATTTTATTCAGTAATTTTGTAAAACTCTTCTTTCGAAAGATAGTGTCCCATTTTAATGTTAGTTAATAGCCGGTGGATTTGTTGACTGTTGACTCCCAAATAGGGAAGTAATGAAACAACAGGGTGTAATAAAATACCCATGTATATTACCTAGTGATATCACTATAACATCTAGAAGCAGAGTATTTCAACAGAAGATACATGCTGCTGAGTAGTCTATGAGTGATGATTACTCATAGTTAGAAGCAAATCCCTGTGTATATTCCTCAGAATGAATTCCCCTCTTATAAACAATGGCACTTCATTTAATAATTCTCCAGCGCACGATAAGAGGTGACATAGCCAATAGCAGCTGTTCACTGTTTTCTCTTTATGATGATTTTGCCTTGAACTCAGATTTAACTCCTGGTGACTACACAGACAGGTCCAGGCAGCATTTTCAGAAATGGTTTGCCACTATTCTCTTCCTAGAGCTGAGCAAGAGAGCAGCTGGTCCAAGGTAACCAGCTGGCTTCTGTGCCTAAGAGAGGACTAGAACTCAGATTTTCCCACTCTTAGCCTACCACTAAGCCACTGATTTTCAAACTTGGCAACTTTAAGTTGTAAGTTGCCACGTTTGAAAAACACTGCACTAAACCAAACTACCCCTTCATGGATCACTGCCTTGTCGTGGCGAAGGGGCTTGCGTAACTCAGTGAA